GGGGGTGGGGTGGGGACAGCTATTCAGCTCCAAAGTTTCCTTGCACGTGGAAATGCCAGCTCAGCGTTTCCAAATATTTAGATTTTAAAAGAGAAGCTAGAAACGAGAACTTCCGTGTGAAATTTCCCATTATTGTTAAACATTGGCAAGTTTAAAAAATGTTAAAAATTATGTTGGTCAAACACAATGCGCCTGTGGCTGAAATGTCTTTTTCACACTCCCGCTTTTTGATCTATCTAGATGTAAAGTTCCACAGACTGCAGGAGCCGTATCGGCTCTGTTCGCCATTTGTAGAACCAGCTCCTAGAATGGTGTCTCATGTGTCTTAAATGTCTGCTGAAATTGTTGAAGACGTGAGTGGACACCTCATGGTCAAGAGTCCCATAATTTACTCATTAAACAAATATTTCAGAGTAACTCTTTGGTCATATTATGATCCAGCCCCTTTCCTCTTCTTTCTCTTATCTCAGCCATGGGATTACATTCTACTCTAGGAATTTAAAACTTGGAATAACCTTGAACTTCAACTAACCCACTCTCATCTTTTGCATTTGGGATCCTGTGGAAAGGATTTTCCCAAAGCCACATAAAGAGTTAGTGTCAGAACTCAGTAGAAACTTACTTATGTTGCCGACTCCATATGAAGAACCTGTCTGAGGATCAGATGCTGTAAATAAACATTTAGCGTGGAGTTGGGGTCAAGTTCCAAAAGAGGGCACCCAAGTTCAGAAAAATAATAGAGTTTTTAAGGAATTCAGTTTTTGGGAGAGGGTGTTATTTCTAAGGCAAAAATCAGGCACCTGGCTAAAAATACATTGTTTTTGTAACATCTGGTAGTTTACCTGATTATTTTCGTGGCGTTGGAGGTGCACTACAAATTTGTTGGAGCTGTATTATGTCTACCCACTTCCCCTGGGAGATAATGAAATCCATTTTATCACTGAGGAAACTGAAATTGCAGGAAAGTGGGCTGAGACTAGAACAGCAGTCTCTGGAAGCCTCTTCATTTTACTGTCCTGGTTAGCACAAAGGGCTTTGGAGTCAGGAAGCCAAATGCCAGCTCCACAACTTCATAGCTCTGAGATGTTAGCCAAGTCACGTAAAGGCCCTGAGCCTCAGTTTTTCTGTTTTAGTAAGGGGGATGATGGTCATTCCTATGATTGATGGAGGATTAAATGGGATAATGTATATAATAATGCACTTAGCATTGTGCTAGGCAGCACAGAGGAAGCACTCAGAAACTGGCAGCTATTGTGGCTGTCATTTTAATTAGCAGGTGACCAGGTTCTACCCTAATACTTCTCAGATATGTTCTATAAATCTTTCTTCTGTTGGTACGGTCACTTTGGCTTAAAATAAAACTACTAATAGTCCTAATGTATTTAGTCATGTAAAGGCTTGGCATACCATATTTTTCCAGAAAAAATAGTGATTCTTATTACTGTATCCTATGCTGTCTATCAAATGCAGACCTGTTTCAAAGAGCTGATTGTGTCTTAATCTTTTGTTTATTCAGTTGTTTGTCCTCTCTTCTCAGTATTCCTATCTTAAACACAGCTGTTGGAGAAACGCCGAGGAGACTGCCACAAAGTTACTTGGAGACTAACCAGGCTAGATACTTGTGATAATCTCTGGCGCCCCCCAGTGGAGAGGAGAATGAAGTGAAGCGTCAACCAGTGAGGCTGTCCAGACGGATATCCAGAGTTTTAAAACATTTTTTTGAATAGTTATGGCTTACAACACTAACATTAATACCACACAAATTCAGCCGTACCATTCTTGGCTTGAAGTTGTCTGCGGGTCCCACTGCATTTAGAATAAAGTGATGCTCTTTTCTCCAGTAGACAAGGCCTTATACTCTCCATTCCCTGCCAATTTGTCCCACTTCATCTAGGATCAGTGTTCCTCTGCTCACTCCTCTCTGGCCACACTGGCTTTCTGCTCTTTGAAGATCATGCTGAGCTTGTGCCCACCCCAGGACATTTGAATGGTTCTTCTCTATGCACGGACTCCTCATCATTCAACTGTCAACTCACATTTCTCTAGCTCAGAGAGACTTTCCCTCAACTCCTTACCTGAAGTCTCCTCTACTTCTATTCTCTACTACATGCTCTCATTTCTTCCATCTTATCATTCATCACAAACTATAATTAATTTGCTTATGTAGCTTGTTTGCTATGTTTCCCCTCCTTGCATGCAGGGTCCACAAGGGCAAAAACTACATCTGTCTTGTCCACCATTATATATCCAGTGCCAAACCAGTGTTTGGTACATAGGAAGTGTTTAATTAAATAAATAAATCTTTGTCTATTTCCATCATTCTTTTCCTTTCTTAGCCCAGGAGGAAAATACAAAGAAGACACATTACACCTCAAAGCAGTAGCCATTCTCATGATGCAAATGGGTCTTTATCGGGCTATGTTCAAAGTGTACAAAGACAAGTAAGATATGATTGCTGGACATGAGGATTTTGTGATTTGGGGGGAAGCAGTAACTAGAGCCTGAGGTTGATAGATGCCCCAGTGGGAGCCCCTGGAGAGCACTGGCCAAATCAGTTAGCTCTGCCTGAAGGAGCCAGAAGCTTTGGTAATGTTTGATCTTTGTTTTGAAAGATGAATGGAGGGTCACCAGATAGAGAGCAAGGCATTCCAGATCTGGAGACTGGAGGCATATAAAAGCACAATATTTGAGGAGAAATAAAAAAAGTTTAGTGTGAATGGAGTATAATGGGAGTGAAAGGGGATGGGAAAAGAGCTAAAGAACCAAATATGCTATGAAAAACAGCTTGAGTTTAAACACAATGGCAATGGGAAGCCCTCAGATGTGTTAAGGAGGAACATGGGCCTCACTACAGTGGAGTTTTAGTAAGATCGCCCTCTCCACATAAGACTAAGTTTATTTTCTTCTTGGTCTGGTATACAAATTATTCTCAGTTCCTAAAAAGATGAGTTCTCCCTTTTAACAATAAGAAAACTCTCCTTAGTTATAAAATAAATCATCAGATCCTAGCACAGTGTCTCATATTTAGGAAGTTCTCAAATATTTGTTGAATTCAATTTGATGTTCAGTTTTACTTGGTTTGTCCACTTCTATCAATACAATCACTTTTAGAAACTGCTTGTGATAACCTCATCAAGTTTTCTTTTAGATATTACCTTTGCAAAGACCTTCCATTTTATTTTTCAATTTCATTGAATAATGGCCGTTTACAGTTTCTAAACTGCCTTTACAAATTCTGTAACCTCAAGTTCATGATTTCTTTAATAACCCATTCCACAGTATTTATCATTTGTCTACAGTGGGGATGGCACCGTGCCAGGAGCTAGAAACACAAAGATAAAGAAACCAATCCCTGCTCATGAGGAGCAAGGATTCTAATGAGTGCACAATACGTATCACGCTGTCTTCACCACTGAGCTGTGAGGGTGACATAGTTTAATTGAGAGAGAGGAAAACAACCATAAGGTGTAATGGGAACGTTTTATTTCTCGTGTCCAAAATAACAAAATAAAAGGTAGACAGTATCAAATTATTTCCTCATACATGCTCACTAGAAAATGACCAACTGAAAAAGAGAGAGGAAAAATGAGTTAAATCACAGAAGAAATGAACGTTTATGGTGCCTACTGTATATATGCCTCCGTATGCTCATTTATTCCACAGCATTCATTGAGGTGTGAATAATTTAATTGCTCTCCAGAAAACTTGCACAATAGAGCAATGTTGTTGAGAAAAAAATGTTAGCATCTCAGACCTGGATTTGTTTCCCGATTCCACCACCTAAAGCTTCATGCTCCTGTGCAAGTCATTTAGACTCTGAGAGTCTTTATTTCTTGATCTGGACAATATGGATACTGGTAGGACCTACTCCCAAG